AAAATCTGCCTTTGGAAGCAGAGAGGGCTCCAGTCGGGTCATGTTTTGTTCTGGTGCTCTCCACACATCAAATTTTGAAGTGGAATTTGGCTACAACCTGTTAACTCCACTTGTAATGGCTGTTTGCTGTATCTCAGGGCTACAAACCAGCATTTTAAGGATTCCCAGCCAGCTGTCTCCAAACTGACCAAAAGCACTTGGCATAAATTAGGGAATAAATTCAGAAAGGCTATAATTTCCTTCTACGCCTGAGCAGGGCAGGACTGGGAGCAGGAGGTGTTACAGAGGAGTCAAATACTATGAATTTGGAGTTATTGAGGTAAAGGGGATCAAAAGAACAGCAAAGATGCCTTTGGCAGAGTTTAGGGCAGTACCCATGATCTCCAGACAAGCACTGAGCTGAGAAAATGCATTCCAGCAATAGGGACTAGCCAGGATTTTACTTATTTTACAGCATTTCTCGTCACCTCGTAGCTCCCTGTACATTGCGGTCCTTTGAGTCCAGCAGTGCCCGGAGGTGGGGAAGGCTGTGGAGGGAGGTTGTCCTCTCTCCCACCAAAATAAAGCCCTTTTGGGGTCCTTTACAGTGATCCTTAAGGCCTACAAATCACCTTTAATACAAACTGTTGCCCTGGCACTTCAGGGAGTACTCAAACAAGGCGCCTTAACACACCCCCCGTGTTCGCCCAGCACTTCTCCCGCCGCCCGCCTTCCCAATCCAGGCCATGGCAGCGTTGAATGGGACCTTAGTTTTAAGGATAAACACATCCATCACAAAGCTGTTTGGCATACACTGGCGCTGGCACCCTCATCCCCTCCATGAAACCCCTTTTGAGGACTCTCTGTCCACCTCTGATCCAGTTTCCACTCCCCAATCTGCTTTTTCCAACGCTCCCCAAGCAAAATCCCGCAGTTTACCAGGAACGAGAAGACGCAGGAAAACAAGGGCCACTTTAACCCCTATTTTAAAGCTATAGATCCCTCCTGGTTTGGTGTATTTAGTTTGGGCACAGTTCTGAAACAAAAGGTACAAAGGAGCCAAGTTGTTGGGGCAGGGGGAGGGAAGAAAGTTGGTTTGATTTTGAGAGCCTTGGAAGATCATTAAAATTTCATAACAGGCAGGAAAAAAAAGGGTTGTTTGCTTATAAGGTCTCTAGTGTTTAAAGAGCTCGAGACAAAACTGCCGAGCAGTATATTCCAGTTTATCCTGTGGAATAGGAAGGAATGGCCCCAGACATAATTACAAGTAAGTAGTGCAGCGAGAGAGGGGAAAAAGCTCAGGAAATCTGATGTCTAAGAGCGTTTTTTTCGCCGCTGTTTAATCAGTTTGCCCGGTTGGTTGTTCGTGTGTTTTTTTTTTTCTGACCTGCCTCTGTTATAAGGTATTGGTTCCTTTGATGGGGAACGGATGGGGATGGGAAGAATTTTTGCTGCTGAAATTTGGGAGCAGCTTAAAGCAAAGACAGGGAACAAGGGTGAAATGCGAAGCGTGTTTTGCGAGTTTACGGAGCTGCAAGTCCGAGTGTGGTCTTGCTGCTCACCGGCTTTTGGGTTTTTATCCAACAAGCAACATGAGAGAGATTTTTGCAAAAGCAGGGAAATGATATCTCATTAATATTTCTACCTAGCAAAAAAAAAAAAAAGAAGGGAATAATAACATTAGTGGTTCTAAAGCAGCGGGGAGATGATGATGAATGTTAGGCTGTATATGAAAACTATACAAGGCTGTATAGTTTTTAAAAAATATGTGCTATTTCTGTTCTTGAGCTTCACTCTTTAAAAATACATTACCATTGAAATGGAATTTTAGAAGGGAATAACAAGGTTGGCAAAATATTTCTCTGAAACACAGGAGTCCCGATCTGAAAAACAAAATCGGTCGTAAATCGTGGAACACATTAACAGCCACAACATGTATAGAAATCTAACTTTATAAAATATTCTTCTCAGTACAAAATAACCTTTAAAATCAGTGCATTATATTGATACAAACACTAATAAAGGGATTATATTTCTGCCAAGATTGCAGATATCAGTTCCATTTTAAAATCACAGTACAGTATTTTAGAAAATCATTAGTAGTGAAAACTATTTTATATATTACATCATATTTATGAACAGTAGAAACTAATTTCATCATATCTTATATTCATATTTTACTATAAACCTACTTTTAGTTGTTTGTAATTTGTACATCACTATATTTAATGGCATAGTTCTTGAAGAAAAAGATATATATCTTAATTTTCTATTTAGTTTTACAAAAAAACCCCAAACCCTAGAAAAAATAATCTTACTTATAATTTCCTGTAGTTAAAACCTAAGTAACCTTCAAGCTGAACACAAAGAAAACACATTGAATTATTTCTTGAAAATGCATATTTTCTGGCTGATTTAGTGAATATAACATGTTATCCTTCCTCTGTGTATACCTAATATGCACACATTGTACCCATAATAACAGCTTTGTAATTAGAGGAAGCATTTTTAAAAGTGTATAACTGAATTTAAAGTGAAGTCTTATTATCTCCTGTGGGATTTGTGCTCCTGAAATCATTAGGTACAGTAAATTGGTCCTCTGATTCGGACTGCTCATCCCACAAGGAGAGTTAATGTTATTCTATTAGTGTGTAATTTTCTCCTTATTTTTCTATTTGCTGGGAAAAGATCAGCTTCCTTACTTTTCAGTTTTTACCTGCACGAGGATAGAAATAAACCACTGAGATTGTTTCTGTGGATTGTACATATGTGAACTCACATCTTAAGGAGTTTCCCAGATAGGAGTCTGATCCAAGGCATGTTGTATTTAATGAGCATTTCTATCTGCTGCAAAGGGATTTGGAGCCGAACACTGGACTTCTTACAAATTGGAGGCTGAAGTTTCATGAGAACATGAATTTAATCATTTTGCAAAATCAGGCATAGCTACCATGGAGTAGTTTAGATTGTAGTCGGAGAGTGTAGTTTGGTCTGATAATGATATTTTCCTCCATGTATTTTGGCCTGATCAGTGACTTTGTGGCCAACACAATGTGTCAGCCTTGTGTTAATAAAACAGTGTGCTTTAAAGTAGTGTTTGTGTAGAAAAACATAAAAAATTTTTAACCTGTCTCTGATTTTACTATTTTTCAGAAATAGACAATGGCACTACTCATATATGAGTCCATTTCACATTTCAGTAATTAACAGAGTCGCCTGTAATCCCGTTGCCTCAATTAGAAAATGGAGAAGTCTGAGGGCTTGCAGGAATTTCTGGAGTCAGTGAAGGTTCAAATGCTTTTTGCCTCCTTTTCTCTCTTGCTTTTATACTTTTCCTTCGTTGCATTGCGTGAGCCTTTCCACAAAGCTTTCATTGGGAGCAGGGAGGAGGGTTTGAAAAGGGTCAGCTTAGTCTAAACAGCGTATGGAAACAAGGACTATGTTGTCACATCAGGTTTGCTCAACACTTAAAATCTAACTTGGGTCTCCATGTCCTGCCATAATGCAAATGAGAATGTTCTTGCTGGGAACATGTCATTCCCGTGAACGCTCAGGGCTGTCATGCAAAGCTCGTGGGAGCGAGGCTGCAGCAAGTCCTCCTGATTTAAGAGCTATTACTGATGCTGCTATTATTACTTTCCAGGGGTACAGCAGGGATTCACAACCTCGGTTCTCAACCTTTCCCTTATTTCTCCATGGAAAGGAGGGAAGTGGCAAGGCTCCCAGCTAGACACATTTGTCGTCCCAGTATGTAGGAATAATTGGGGCAAGGCTCATGTTGTGGACCTTCACTCGTAAAAGGAACCTCCTTCGGATAATTTTTCTGACAGAAATCTTTAAAAATGCGACTCTTGTTTAAATGTGCCAAGAAAGAATCAGTGGGTGCAGTTATTTGCACGTGCTACAGATAATGAAGTTTTTGAGCCCAGAAATCTTCTGAGCTTTGCCAACCTGGACAGCTGGGGGTACGTGGAGGGTCTTATCACTGCTTGTGTAAGGGGAGCAGGTGATTCTGTTCCCCATAACTTCCCAAGTTATGTGAGCCATCCCAAAAAAACATTGAAAGAGATGGTTAAGGTTCAAGCTTGCATGGGATAAGTGAAAAGCTGAATTCTGCTTAATTTCTGTTCTTTCTATGCATTTGTGCAGGTAAAATTCACAGGGGCTCAGTGGAAAGAGTGCAAAAGAGACCAGAAGTGCCAGAGCCAAAGTGTGGTGGATCATTCCAGTGCTCTGTACCACTGACTTCCCAATCTACTCCCCCTCCCACAGAGAAATCTTTGATGGCTCAGAGATGCAGTTTGCAAACCTCTCTGCTCCAACACTTGTAAATAAAGGCCTTTTTATATCTGAATTTTCAAATTCAGAAAAAAACCCTCTCCGGCCACAAAAAACATCTTTTTGTAGCTCTGTTGAGGGCAGACCAGCCAAGTGTTCAGCATGGTATGGAAATGCTTCCTGCAGGCTTGGAGCCACAAGTATGTAATTTTTCTTCCTTTTGTCTTGATCCTGACCCAGCCATGATGTTCTTTCTGGAGGGTGGCAACTCACAAAATACCAAATATCTGATTTTTTCGTAGTTACAAAAATGGTTCCCACATGAGATTTTTCAATTTGACTCTTGGGGATGGTCCTGTGCAGGAGTTGGACTCGATGATCCTTTTGGAATATTCTGTGATTCCGTGATCTGCCAAAACCCTTAAACTCTCCGAAATTGCCCTGAGCACTGGGGTTGTTATCACAGCTCCAGCACTCCTGGAGAGGATGAAGCTCCTTATCCTTCACACAGGCCCTGTCTGCAGCACAGGCAAGACAGGGCACAGGGCTGAAGTGGATAAATGAGGTTGTAATAGGTTGGGGAGCAGCTGTAAAGCCCAAAACTCGGCAGAGAGGCAGCTGCCCTTTCCTACTCCCAGTGAAGTCTCCTCCTTCTGACAGTTTGCTGAAAGGACCTCCATTGTGTGTTACTTAGCACATCTGGGAATTTATTGCGAGCTGATGCTTTCTGTTTTCTATCTCAGTGACACAAAAAGAAGATGTGGAAGAGCAATTCATCCCAGATCTCTGACTCCACGCTGCATCCAAATGTGGTAAAACCCTGGAAAGCTCTGACGTAGGAGAGCCCTGCTTGTCCCGGCCTGATCCTGAATGACACTGACACCCACTGACTTTTCCCTGTAACAGATGCTTAGGAAAAGTATGAGAATTGGAATAAATGGTAGGAAAAAAAAGGAGGCTGATTTCCAAAATACACTCTTTAAATGCAGGGCACTGGAATGTGTGGCAGGGCTGGAATACAGCATTGACCAGATTCCTCACGTTTCCTGACTTTATTACTCTCCTGAATATGGAGAAAGGGAAAGAATAAAGACCTCTCAGGCAGGAATAAAGCTCAAATCTCAGTTTCTCAAACTCAATAAATGATCAAGGAGGGGTTGTGCATGGCAGAGAGAATTACCCTGGTAATCTCCTGACCCTCCTGTTCTCCCCACCCAACACTTGCACTGGAAGATGGCTGTGTTGTAGCACAATATAGGGATTTTCCAGCCAGAAAATGGGCTGTGAGCACAGGGCATCTGTATCCCAATGCCTTCCCTGCCCTTTACCTCAGTTAGCCCTTTGCAATAGGCTGCAATGAAATCATGTTCCCAATAGCAAGAACACAAAATAACTCATGATGTGCCTCAAACTGTGAGAAAAGAGTATCTGATCCTGCCCAAACACAGACCTGCTCACTTCAAAGGGGGCAATATTTAGATTGTAATCAACATCGCCCTTTTCTGGCCCAAATATTCCCTTCTGTGCATATTTGCTCAGCCACTGCCCATCAAGAAAATCTGCACTGACTGATGAGAAAGGTGGGGAACATTTGGATCTGAGTGGTGCTCCAAGGTAATGCCTGGATCCCAGGGATCATCCAAGGGCTACAAACCCTGACACCACAGGACTAAGGATTTTCTCCTGGCTCATTTTATTTATAACCAACAACTTTTGGCAGGGCTAGTGACAATCCAGATTTCTGTGTTTTCCACAACACTTCCTGAATTAAAGCTCTCTCCCATGTAAGTGAGCAAAGAAACTTCTTCCCTCTCTCAGGGATGGGGAAACGGGAGCAAAGCACCAAATTGCAGTCTCAAAGTGTGATTTATAACTCCCAGAAGGCACAAGAAATACCTTTTGCCATCTTTTTGCTGACTTCAAAATCTCAGAATGACCAGCTGGGCAGAATGAAATTTCTTCAGTTCTCAGATACTGTGATAAATATTTAATAAATAATCAAATTAAAGCTGAATGTTGCTTGTATTTTTTTTTCCTTAGGTCAGGATCTGCAGATTCTCGTACTGTTATTTCTGAAACAGCTTTATTAACTTATTATGAAAGCAGGCATTTGTTATGCAGCAAATCTAAGCTTCACAGTCAATGGGTGTTTTGTGGCCTGGGAAAAAGTAAACATAAACTGAAAAAATCACTTGTGCCTATTCTTGTTTTGGCCCAATAAGAATTAGTATCAGATGTGTAAATGGTGAAATTCCTTGAAGGAAATGCATCTCCTTTGTTGAGGGACTGTTAGCTAAAAAAACCAGAGCCCAGGATGATGTAATAGCCAGACGTCTGCAGACTTTAGGAACAATTGTCATTTATTTCCAGGAGTAAGAGGAATTTTATTTCTACTTCTCTTCCCACATCACTCATCCTAGGAGGGAAAGATGCTTTCCAAGACATTTCAGCAGTCACTAATGACATAGTTCTGTGTGGGTCACTCCACTCGACAGATAGATCAGAATCTAGTGTCAAACCAGGGAAGAATTGAGAAGTCTTGATATGAGAAAGGAGACAGACTGATGAGTCCACCCTAGTGATAGGACTTAATTATTCAGGGGCTAAAGATGAAAGTTGACTGTGATGAGGTGCCAAAAATGCATCTGGAAGTACATGGCTGAGTGAGAAAACATCGACTAAAATGCAGGATAGAGAAATGTCAAATTGCGTGCACGGGGCAGACCGTGCTGGAAATCCTCTAAACTAACTCTGACTCTGTTACACTCTAAACTAACTCTAATAACTGAGGAGAGTTAGATCTATGATAGTAATTATCCTGTGAAATAGGTTGCATTTGTAGCTCTCAAGAAAGGAATGAAGGGGAGGGGGAGAAAGAGAGAGAGAGAGAAAGAGGGAAGGTGTTATTTTATAAACCTTTGGTGCGTCTCCACCTGGAATACCTGAAATATTGCAACTACTAAAGGAACCAGTCAAACTGAGGCTTAGAGGCTTAAAGGATGGCACCAAGGGTAATTAAAGACTTTGTCTTCAGTGTGAGAACCATTAAATAGGCTATGCGTCTTCAGCCAGAGAAGAGATGACTGAGAGGATACTGTGGAGTTCTCAGGAATTGTGAATGACAAGGACAGAATAGTAAGCAGCTGTTTGATGGTTTTTCCTCTAATCCTGCCACAGGATACTGGGACTCCTAGAAGTTTACTGGATGCATTCATGAAAGAAAAACTCATCAGAGGTTTTTAAAATCCATCTGGGTTTTGTATTAAACAGAAAGACTCCAAGTCTGGTTCAGAAAGTGCCTGAGCCAGAAACCACTCTAGGTTGGGCAAGTATTTTGGGGGAAGTATTGCTACAGATCTGACCTACATTTGTGCTCCTTCCTGGGCTCTCTCTACTGTTTCAGATAGGGGGTTATTTGGTATGGGCTTCCAGCCTGACCTGCTAAAGCTGTTCATATCTTCTTGGGAGCCTAGACTTCCAAGTGATAAGTAATTCCAGACAAATGCATTCCTTATGTTCTCTCTTAAATGTAATCGTAATGTTAACTATTAAGTCAGGTGATGACAAGCCAACACAGAGTGGCCTCAGGTCTTAGGCTTCTCCTTTCCCAGTTCTTCATTTCCTTTGGCCTGGGTTAAGGTGACCCAGAGCAACCCACAGGTGCTGTAGGGGCACATCCACATGGGTGGACACCAATTCCCCCTGCCAGTCTTGGCACCACAGAGCTGTGCAGGGCAACCAAGAGACAAGGGGGTTTAGCTAAGGCACAGCAGGACACCAACAAGGGTGATGTGGTGTCCAGGCCCACTTTGGCTTTGCATCTGAATATCACAGGAGCAGTGCTCAGATCTCTCCAGTCAAGGAGTTATGCCTGGATTTCCTCCTGCTACTAAACAACTCTGGGGTGGTGATACAGCAGCTGGAACTCAGAGTTTTAACAGGGGAGAAAGTTAGTTTAAAAGCACTGCCTTTGGCTCTAAACTAGCAGAAGACCTCCATAAGAGACATTCACAATCTTGTGACCAGCTACTCCAACTTTATTTGCCCGGCCAGGAAGATTGAAACAGCTCTGATGGTTTCTGGGCAAATATATCTGTGTTTTAGTGAAGCGTTTGATAATCTCATAAAATCTTATTTGAAAGATTGACTCAGTCTGGCCTGGATAGAAGTACTTGCCTGTGGTCTCTGTGTTGGCTGAAATACCATAAACTAAGATAAATTTTGACATGTCAGGTTTGAGGAGATGAAGGAGGTGCTACTTGGAGAGGAAAATGCACTAAGTCTGACTTTATCTAATTTCTTCATTAATAAAGTGGAAGAAACAGCAAACAAAATGTGCTTTGAGTTTGCAGATGGATGGAAACACTTGGGAAAAACACTGGAGCTGAATTATTGGCAAACCCTCAACAAGTCAGGCTAAGTCACCTCGAGCAGAAAAAGTCTACGTGCATGTAGGGGTGTTTGTGACTATCTGATCTCTGCTGGCTGTAGGATATGGCACTGGAAAACTGGTCATTTATGGGGACTCCAAAAAGAGAGATGAAGCTGAATCAACCAGAGAGAGAAGAGTTTTCCAAACTGTGCTGATGGTGATCCTCTAATTTTTTTAATGCTGCTCCATTCAGAGAACCTCAGCAAGGTATCAACAACACAGAGAGAGCTCTGGGAGGGAGAAGGAAAGGAAAAAGCAAAATAATAATAATAAAAAAGTAATAAAAATAATGAAGGGCCAAAAGGGAACTGACTTACGAGAAAAGATTAAAATATTTAAATATGGTTAAGTTGGCCAAATTATGACTAAGAGAGGATATGATAACTGTCTGCATGTATATGAGGGCTGTAAACCACTAGGAAAGGAAAGACATTTTTTGATTGGCATAAAAAGAAATTTCAGAGAAATCCCATTATATTAAACAAAGGAAAATGTTGAATGAATGAATAACGGGAATTGTTCCTAATGGTAAATTTGACCAGAATTTGAAAAACATTTTATATAAATTGATCTGAACAAAACATCAAGGAGATTTGAGAAAGCTGCTTGGATCCCAGTTCTTAAAGATATTGGCTTCTAGTGCTTCCTGTAGCAAAGCGAGAAACAAGAACAATCGACAGCAACTCAATGGAAAGGGTTTGGCTCTCTTTGTTTTCTGGTGCAGGAAACCAATGATTTTAGAAAGTTCTGTCAATGGTCTCCTTGTTAAAATTGTAGTGAGTGTATCCAGCAAGCTCTCAGTCACAAAAGAACATGGGTTTCTGAGAGCTCATGGCTGAGTCCTCCTTCCTTCCAGAGTTTCAGAATATTTCCCAGCAAACCCTGCCAGAACACACCCCCGGTGTGCTGCAGGAACACAAGGTGTGATGAAAGAGGGAAGCAGCATAATTTACATTCCCAGTACAAACATCAGGTGATACAGGACAAGCTGGTCCAGATCCAGTTTTCTTGAAGTGGTTTTTGACCAGAAATCCCAGGGAGGTGCCCAAATGTGGACACCAATTCCCGTGTTGTCTTTTTGGTACGCCCAAACCGCAGGAGGAGTCCATATGTACTGGGGTATGTCTACATAACCTCATGGCCCAGTTCTCTTACTGGAAGCTGTTTAGAGCTGGCAGGAGACAACATAACATGGAATTCCTACCTGGCACTGGGACCCATGTTCCTTTCACAAAACCGCTTCCATCCATGGAGGCAGAGAGCAAGTATGCCCCAGTGTGACCACCTAATTGAGGTGTCCTTGGTGGTTTTTCTTCCAACAAGAATCATGCAGCAGATTCAATCCTAGAATCCTGGAATCAATAGTTTGAGTTGGAAGGGACCTTAAAGGTCACCTAGTCCAACCCTCTGCAATAAGGAGGGACAGAAATCATAGAATCACAGAATGGTTTGGGTCAGAAGGGACCTTAAAGATCACCTTGTTCCAACTCCCTGCCATGGGCAGGGACACCTTCCACTAGACCAGGTTGTTCAATGCCCCATCCAACCTGACACCTTCAACAAGACCCATTTGTTCAGAGCCCTGTTCAACCTGGCCTTGGATGTTTCCAGGGATGGGGCACGGACAGGTCTTCAACAAACCTGTTGTGCCATGATTCGATTTTGGCCATGAACAAGTGAAAGAAGTTTTTTAGTACAGACATGTTGGATTAAAAAAAAGTAGATGGGCAAATGAGGCCTTGGAACCCTCCAGGTACAAGGAGTTTTTGATAATGACAGCAAGATCAGGGTTTTACTTTGAGAACCTTGAGTTTCTAAGTCCCTTCTTGCTTCTGGAATCCTCTCTTTGGTCTTAAATGACCTGATTGTCCAAAGAACTCGAAGACTGAGCATTTCTGATGAAGTTTAAGCAGGAAAGGAGGAAGTTTTCCTCACCTTTTTGAATCCCTGCACAGTTTGTGTCACTTCATTACCACCTTACAAATGCTGTGCTCTTAAATCAGGTCTCTATCAAATCCCTGGATTGCTGCAAGTTAATCAAATACATAGAGGTGCCTGGCATCGCTTCAATAATATGGATTGTATCAAGACTCAGGATTTTCATATTTCAAAGAATGTTATGATTTTTAAAATCACAAACAGGGCCGTATTTCTGCACAGCCCCATGCTGTGTGCTGCATTATCCACTTAGACTCACATTACAAAAATAAGCTGTAAACACTTTTGATGAAAGGGTTGGACACTTCGTTTACACCCTGAGAATGGACTTTTGTTTTAATGCCCAATTTCACTTTGGTATTTAACCTTTCCCCTCTGTTTTACATATATTCTGTCATTTCTTTCCAGCTTTCTATTTATTTATCTTTGTGCAGGGAAGAAAAAAAAAGGAAATAATATTTTTTTTAAAAAGGATAAGTAAATACATTTACAAAAAAGTGTTCACTCAGCTCTTAGCTAAATGTATGCTGCAAACCAGAGTCTGTTTACCCTGAGAGTGTTTTAGCTGGG